TCATTTCTTAGATTGAAACCTAGATAGATGTTCCACAAATTATTCTGGGTTGGCTGGGGATGCCACTGCGGGGAGCACTTCTAACAAGAAAGTCAGTAGGTGTGTTTAAAAGACAAGAAGGCAAACACCTCAATGCTGTTTGGCTTGCACTGCTATATGCAAGTGAAATTAAATAGAAAGGGAAAAAAGGGCAGGACATCTTTAACTCTTACTTAAATCCTGTAGCTAGGGTCAATTAGAACCTCACAAAACTAAACCAAACTAAATACCAATTTTTGGCTGAAATTTAGAATGTCTGAAGGAGAGAGGGTGTAAACGTGAGCCAGATTTACACCTTGTCTGGTCATGACCATGTCTACATAAAAATAAGAAATAAGAAATCTGATTCCAAAGCAGACAGGGCTTCAATGCAGAACAGGCCTTAGGATGCTTACGTTCATTTGGAGTACCGAAGACCCCCGGAGGATATAGTAAATATTATAGATCCTTTTCCCCAGAAATATTTACAGAATTCTACACATGATCACAAGGGATTGAATAAGTCTCTGACATGGACGTTAGATTTTAAAATTTCCCAGTTAAATGTCTCATGTTTCCAAGTTAAAGCATCAAAGAAGTTAAAGCCAAAAATACCAACTTCAAAGTTCTCAGACCGACAATTATGTATTGAACAGAAAGCATCTTAAGAACCTGTAAAAGCAGGACAGAGTCTAGCATGGCACAAAAGAAAAAATTGCTGAGAAGAAAGGTTTTAGAGCCACACTTCTTACATAAGACACCATTAGCTGCTTTTATTTCTTGGGAGAGTCCATTTCCTCTAAAAATTTATGTTCCAAACCAAAAAAAAAAAAAAAAATCTTATATATCCAGGTATCTCTAAGTCTGCTTAGATACAATCCTCACAGAGTTGGCTGTCTTTTTAAAGGCATCATCTCTTTGAAATCTTTCTATTTATCTGTAGCATCATGATAATTCCAATGAACCAGACAAGATTTTTCATTTGAATCTGTTCTTTTTGTTTCTTTTTAAATTACAGAATTGGAAGTCAATAAGCAACCACATCCTACCCAGACATGTAACCATTTCTTGGGTACCATCGGATGACAGGCACCGGAGATACAAAGTGAATAGCTCCCTAAAAGTTCCTGGTCCTGTGTCATCCCCTTTACATTTTCATAGCTACCCACTGATGGCTTACATTCTCATTTCCTATGATCATTTCCACAACCAGCCTCTAACTACCCTGACCCCTTTAGACTATGAATTCTCTCCCTCCCAATGCTCCAATTCACATGACATTATGCTGGCTTAATACTTTTCCTAGAATGATAAATCCATCATATAATTCCCTTGCTGGGAATATCTCTCCTGGGTTCCTGGTATGTGCCTATGGGCTTTGATAATTAAAGTCTTCTGCATCATCAGACCTTCTCCAACTCCCTACAGTTAGCTCCTTTTATCCATAGTACCCTGCAGTACAAGTTCATGGCTCCCAGCTGGTTAGCCTTGAAACAAACTGGCCTTTATTTCTGACCTCATCATTCTCAGGTTAGTCTCTCCCTCTTGCTCTATCCATCCTCAGACCTACAGCTCAAGTCTTGCCCCTTTCCACAAAATGTTTCAGCAAATGACATCCACAGTGATGGTACACTGACACGTCATAGAATTCTCCAAATTACTCATTTTGACATCGAATCAGTATTCATATTTTTGGTTCTTGTCTTTCTAAACTGATGATGGTTAAATTCTTTGAGGTTAGTAAAAAACCTGGTATTTTATTTACTTTAATGCATTCATTTACTTAGTGTTTCTTGAGGCTCTCTTTTATACATGGCATTATTCCATGCATTAAAGAGGTCTATGGTGTTTCTGACATAGTAAACCCTAAAGAAATGTTTGTTGAATAAATCTTGTCCCCTGTTCTAGCAAGTAGCATGTCTATTTAATAAAAGTAACTTTCAATCTCTCTTATATTAGATAAGTTGACTGCAGCAGTCCCACAATTTTCAAATAGACCCTAGGTGCCAGCTGTAGGAACAATCAAGCTGCAGACGGATTTATAATATGTTTGCTTTGCTCCTGTTCTTCAGAGTTTAATGTAACTTTTGAAATAGCTGCTAAGGTATTATTGCTTTTTAAAGATCACATTTTACTTTCCTTCAATTTGACATAAAATGTTATAAGTAAATAAAATGGAAAGCTACTTAGCTACCTGACATCTATAATAACAAGATGTTTCTATAATACTAGTTTTATAAACAAGCAGAGACTCTCAGATCTGGCCAGCTGTATTAGTAAAAAATAGGAAATTGGATGATTTATTAGGGTTCAATAAGCAGACTTCTGTTGAGAGTTTATGCAATTTAGGTTATGAATATAGTATATTTATAAAATAAACATTATAATACATATTCAAATGAATAAATACACATCACTATGCTAATTCTCTTGAATGACAACAAACCATATGTGGCACAGCCCCAGATGTTTACATAAATTATCCCTGAAGGTGGGGATAGGCCACTTAGCAATTGTCATGGTTACTGATGCACTTTTATACTGTGATGGTACTAAGAGGAAAAGGCATCATCCATCATAAACTTCTATCCATCATAACCCCATCATGGATGCTCAAACAAGTTTGGATTTTAAAAGACTGCTGATTTTTGTTTTGTTTTGTTATTTTTTTAAAAGGGAAGAAGGAAGGAAGGAAAGGAAGAATAGGAAGAAGGGGGGTGGGAGGGAGGAAGGAAGGAAAAAAGGAAGAAAGGGGGAGCTAGAGAGAGGAAGAGAAGAGAGAGAAAGAGAAAGAAAAAAGAACAAAACTCTTTAAAAGAGAAAATAATTTTTCTGAATCAGACAATGTTTAAGAAAAGTTGCAGAAATCACTTAAAGCTCTGAATAATGTTACCTTCTTCCAGAGAGTAAGATTTACTTTTGCTTCTGTTAGACTAAGGGCAACTTTCTTAAATCCAACTGAGGATGGAAACAATTCAAATTGAAGTTTCAGTCCTTTTCAGAACTAGCCTTTTCTAAGGATTCCTGAACAGCCCTCGATGCTGGGCTTACGTCTCTTAGCAGTCCTCTTCCTCCGAATCCCAGTCCTGTAAATCCTCCCTGCACCAGTGGCTTTCCAGTGCCTTTAAACAGAGTTTAGTGTAGTTTGTTTTGTTTGGTTTACCTTTAGAAGGCTTGTCCTGATTCAATTTAATGGGCAGAACTGAAAATTCTTCTCTCCCTGATTTGTACTTTCTCTACTCAATTGTGTTCTAGGTAATTGTCTGGATTGATCTTCAATCAGTCAGTAGCTCAAAAACCTCTTCCTTTTTGCCTACTAAGTAAGGGATCTCTCACAATCAGACTCTGCTACCATTGTTAGCCCTGAGATAATTTAGATTGTGATTTTCAACTTTCGATCGGGTTTCCCTGTCATGAGGATCGCTGAAGTCCTGTCTTGAATAAGACTGTGTGGCAGAAAATATGAAATACTTGAACAGATATCCCTTGCTGGCCTCTCACTCTGAAGTGACAGTCTAAGATGCAGGAAAACTTGATAACCATGTGTCTGTCCATCGTAGGGAAGAAACCTACTCTTAGTTTTGACCCAAACAGGAAGTTATTCTTTCACTCAAAGAGAGCTGACCAGATCCTTTCACATGGACAGCAGAATCAGAAGTTATTCCTCCACACCAGTGGAAACTGACAGAAAGAGGGATGGGTATAACCATAACCCAATACAAAGATCTGTCTTCCCACAGAAAGGAAAACCAGGCAGCAGCTATTTGCTAGAGTATTTTAGAAGGAACCAAAGACTCATGAATAAGATTTTCAAAGACTTATCATTTAAACTTTGAAAATATGAATGAGGAAAAACAGACATTTTTTTTATAATGTGATAAAATAATTTAGCACAGCTCAAACCCTCAGTGGGACACACAAGAAAGAATCAGAATTTATCAACCAAATAAAATTCAGAATAATCTAGATCGGGTAAGCATAGAGACAATTAATCTAACTGTGACATTTGGAAGTACTGGGGAATGGGTACCAATATCAGCTGTTAACCTAATTTTGCCAGGTTCATGACTTATTGGTTACCACCTAGAATGAAACAACTCACCTTCCACAATATTGCATGGTATCAATACCATGCAAGATATTGCTTTAACGGAAGTTATTTCTATCTAGGTAGGGTACAAATTCTCTAAGCATAATGAAGAGAGCTTTTGTTGGTTGTTTGCTTTGTTTTGACAGTTCTAGAGATTGAACCCAGAACCCTGTACATGCTAAACAAGTGCTTTGACACTGAGTTACAACTCCAGCCTTTTAAATTTTTTATTGTATTATTTATTTTAACATAACTTCTCATATAGTTATCAAGGCTCAAACTTGTGATCCTTCTGCCTCAGCTTCCAGAGTAGCTGGGATGACTACATGAACCTCTCTGCCTATTGAAGGATTTCTTTAGTGATCAGCTGTTAACCTAATTTTATCAATAACTTGATAGCTTATTGGTAGGTTATCACCTAGAGTGAAGCAACTCGCCTTCCACAATATTGCTTGCACAAAGAAGCTGTAAAAAATGGAGTATATGCAAAAAAACCAGTTTTTGTTCTAAAGTGATAGGATTATGGATGATTTTCTTCCTTTTGTCTATTCCAAACATTCTGTAATGCCATCACATTTTATATACAAAATAAACAAATACATAATAAAAATGGTATGAATAAGTGACATCTTCTAAAATGTAAGAAAAAGCACATTAAAGACTTTCTTTCAGAGTTTCAGTTTTTTGTCATTAATTCCAGTTAGCATAATTGTCAATTTCTGCATAAGGAATTGGGCTGGAATACCATGTCTCACAAGAAGGTCTTAAAATTAATCATCCTGGTGGTCAGTGGGCCCTGTTTTAGTTTTACTTTAACATGTTGCCTATCCTCCCAAAAATCAAATGAGCAAAAGATATTTTCTTTAATATTATTTGTGGAAAATCCTTTTACCTGAAGTTCTCATATTCTTCTGCTTGCCGTTTCCATGGACAGCTTTGTATACTTGTGATTACCTCAAGGTAGTCTCTCTCTGAATATCTACAAGGAAAAAATGGAAATGCATGAAGAAATGGTCAAACCTGCTGGCCACGAGAGAAGAAAAACGCTGAGATTCCATCTTACATTGAACAGAATGGCCCTCATCAAGAAATCAAATAATAACAAATGTTGATAAGGCTGTGCGGAGAAAGGACCAGGTCTGCACTGCTGATGGAAATGGAAACTAGCACAGCCACAATGAAAAATAAGTATGGAAATTCATCAAAATTCTAAGACTAGAAATTTTCATTCAACCCAACTATTTCCCTTCTGGGTATCTTCCCAAAAGAGTTAAAGGTATCATGTTACAGTGATCCATGCATACTCATGTGTATAGCAATACACCAGACAAGCATTGGAACAAGCCTATAGGTTTACCAACAAATAAGCAGATAAAGAAAATACAAAAACATAAAAATACATAATTTTTATGAAAACTTATAATCTTGGACCAAAATGTTAAGTGAAGCAAGTCAGACAGACAACATTAAATATTGAATGCTTCTTCTCATATGAGAACCCTCAAGCCAAAAGGAATAAATTGGCAATATAATAAGAAAATAAAGTCTCATGAATTGTAAGTGTTCTCATTTTATCCCTCTACATCTTTTCTGAAGCCTAGTAAAGAAGAAATAAGTATGTATCATACAATTCAAAACACCCAAGAACATGCACTTTGCAAATAATTATTGTGCTGGTTTAGGAATTTGTAAACTGCGCATCTCATAAACCAAACATTACAAACTGTCACCAAACACCAACTCACGTACATGTCTTATAGTCATTTTACCCAAGCTTTAATTCATTGACAATGATATTTCGTAGATGTTTATCATAAATACGTATCTCATGATTTTTTCCTACTCCAAATTGATAATTACATGGGAGGTAAAGATAAAATTTTCCCAAAATAACTTCCTGAAGATTTGACCTTGAACATGACATTAAAAAAATAGATTGGGCTAAGGTAAGGGAAATATACATGGACATAAAAACATGTAGGCACCATGGGTATCACTTAGGGGCATAGGCTAAGGTCTCAAGTCCCCAGTAGATCTCCTTCTATCAGAATTCCACTATAAAGTATTAATTCCTAAAACAGAGAATGCTGGTTAGCCTTTAGTAGTGCTCATTTGAAATCCAAATATCTCAAATTTTCTTTAATTTACTCTTAGTCATTAGTTTCCAGCCATTATAGACTAAGGGTTTCCAAAAATGGGAAAGAACACATGTTCCTGGGGGATGAAAAAAGAAAGAGAAGATAAGCAGACTAGACTGGGAAATTTACTTCCAAGCCCATATAAATAAAAAGAAGATTCTCCATTCTCCAAAGTTCACCTCTGAAAGAAAGTATTTCTTCTACATATAAAACAAATTTACCTTCCTTGTGGGACTCTCAGTGATGCTACCTACATGAATCAAAATATTTTTGCTTTAATTCCCACCAATCCATCTGAGAAGAGCTAAAACTCTTAAGACTGCATTAAATACTAGAAAAGATGGAAAGCAAAGAGCTACCACTGGGAGGAATTAAAAATAGTTTCATAACACACAGTTGTCTAACTCTAAACATAGGAGCTCACTCCCATGGGTTTGTCTTAGTATACTTTAAGTGTCTTGAGAGCTCTGGGCTCCGACCTGAGAACGTTGTGTAGATGTGATACTTTCCAGCTAAATGAACATCGCCTGTCTCCACATGGTGGAGGTCACCCAAAGACTCTTCTGCAAGCCACTGTTAAATCCCAAAGCAACACATGTTCAGCAATTTATCCAAAGCTTTCACTATGCTGGCCCTTTAGGAGAAACATATCACTGTGACTGTTTCCTGTCTGTAGAAGTCGTGTCTGCTGTCAACGCATGCATTTAAATTTTGTGTTAACATTGACAGGATAATAATCATAGTGCTATGTGTGCAAGGGCCTATGAACCAAGGTAACAAAAGAGTTGTTTTTTCACAAAGCTCAACTAAAGAAAAAGTAGAAAGGGACAAAGGCTCAATGTGACTGTATAATCAAACTAGTGAGAGTTGCAATCTTATTTTAGGTTATCAAAATAAAACATAATACGAAACATCAAATGAAAAAATTCAACCATGACACTAAATGTGCCAAAGTTTAAACTTTTTTCAATTTATTGGTTAGGCAAAAACAAGTAAAAGTTCTCAGGTTATATAGCTAAGATTAGTGAAATTGAAGATTTAGCTTTTAAGTTGTCAATCTAAATATTAGAACTATTGAAAATCTAAAATAAAACAGAAAACAATAAAAAATTAACAAAGAATTAGACATCAATGAGACAAACTCAAATGTTTTAAGATGGAGTAATTATATTTCTAGCATAATAAAGGGCACAAAATTGCAGAAATAATGGTAAAATTTTTTCCAAACTTAACAAAAACTATAAATCCAAGAATCTAAAGAGTCCCCAAGTCCCAAAACTCAATAAACATGAACAAAGACACAACATATAAAAATAAAACTGTTTAAACAAGTGAGAGAGAAAACTTTAAAAGCAATGGAAGAAAAAACATTATATACTAATGTTTAAGATATAAGAACTGCAGCAGAATTCTTGTTAGAAACGGGGCCAGCTGGAAGACAGTGGGAAAGTCACATTAAAATACAGCATGGGATTTTGGGGGACACTGTCTCTCTAGAATTCTACACTTAGAAATGTTTCAAAAATAAAGGTTAAACAATGGCTCTGTAAGACCTACAAAATAATTTGTGTATAGTGTAAGCAATGTTAAAGGAATCACTTTAGGCAGAAGAAAAATGAAACCACATTGGTATCTAGATTGACAGAATGCAATGAAGAGCTCTAGAAATATAACATGTAAACATATTTGGGAAACCTGTCCTCATTTTTTTTTTTCTTTTTTCTTTTTTTATCAGTACCAGCGATCGAACTCATGACTGCCTGCTTGCAAGGCAGGTGCTTATGATGCTGAGCTAAATCCCCAGCCCCTCCTGTCCTCATTTTTGCAAATCTCCTTAAAAAGATCATTGACAATTCAAAATGAACACAATAATATAATGTTAGAGTTATAACATAGGTGAAAATCACATGATTTGACAATAACTTAGCAAATTTGTAGGATGACAAAAATCAAAGTACTAAATTAATTACATTTCTATACACCAGCAAGAAATAATTAGAAATAAAATTAACATTTCTATTAACATCAAAAACATTAAATAGTAATAAATTTGACCAAGATACATAAGGTCTATAGACTGAAAAGTGTAAAATGCTGCCTAGAGAAACTAAAGAATTCCATAAATGAAGCCATCTCCCATGTCCACTTATCAGAAGACTCAAGATTGTCAATTTCCTGCAAATTTATCTATAGAGGTGATGAAATTTTGATCAAAATTCTATTGAAATTAACTATTTTCTGTTGATATTAAGAAGCTGACTCTAATATTTATATGGAAGTTTCAAAGATCTAGAATAGTCAACAGAATAAAAAAATGTAACGTGAAGTAGAAAGAGGTACACTGCCTGATTGCTGGACTTAGCAAAACAATCAGAGCAGAGAAAAATCAATATCAAAAGAATAGAAATTTCAGAAATAAAGCTGTTCAATATGGTAATTCAGTGGAAAAAGATTAATTTTTAATAAAAATTATTGAAACAACAAATAGCTACCTAAAAACAGTAACAACAAATTCTTACCTCATATACAAACATTAACCAAAATGGATCATTAACCTAAACATAAGACAAATAACTAAAAATTGGGCTAATGATTTGAGCAGACATATCACCAAATACAGTGGGTGGCAAACACATGAAAACATGCTCAACATCATTATTTACTAGGGAAAAACAAGTGAACATCACAATGAAATTGCATTACACATGCACCAGAGTAGCTGTAATGGAAAAGATGGACGCATTAAAATATTGGCAAGGAGTTGGGCAATTAGAACTTTCACATACTTCTGATGAAAAATAAAACATACAACTACTTTGGAAAGCCATTTTCCTTATCAACCTACAACGCAGCCCAGCTGTTGCACTCCTAGGGTATTCACCCAAGACAAAAGAAAACATATGCCCATACAAAAACTTGAACACTAATATTGAAAACAACTTTATTTATAAAAGTGGAAAACCAAAAACAATTCAAATATCTATCAAGGGATGAATAGATAAGCAAACTGTGGTATCTACATGACAAAGGAATATTGTTGCTTTTATTTAGCCTTAACAGGAAATAAACTATGAGTAGCTGCAAAAACCAGGGATTAATTTCAAAATAATTATGCTGAACAAAAAAAGCAAGACACAGAAAAAATACGCAATGCAGCCTGCCTCCAGAAAATGCAAACTAGCCCACAGCAGGAAAGCCTGTGAGGTTGCTGGGGATGGGTCGGCATGTGGAGGTGGGGAGACAGTGCAAGAGAGGAGTGGATTGCAAAAGAACTCCAGATAATTTTTGTGTGTGATGGGCATGTTCACAATCTTGATTCTGGTGATAGTATGGATATGCCAAGACCACTCAAACCTTACCCTTAAATTTGGGTTTACAACATTACTTTCTTCTCAAAGAACCTTAAAAATGTTCAATATTGGACTATATTTTTTATTTTCCAAGATGATATAACTAACATCATAAGGACTATTCTATCAGTCACTGTTGGGGATCTAACACACAAAATTTGAAATTCTAGTTACTATGAACCTAGAATATATTTAAATTGACATGCTTTTCAAAATTCCTTGGGTGACCAAGTTGCTAACTTCCATGAGCTCTCATAGTGCCCTGACCAATACTTCTGTAACAGCCTTTCTCATATTTAATTATGAGTTTATGTGTTGGTTTCCTTCTCTATCCCCTTCCTCTCAAGATTTTGATAGCTGACCATTTCTAGCCTGGTACAATCCCTAAGACATGTGGCTTACTTTTGTTAACCTAGGAAATATTTCAATATAAGACTGAAATACAATCAGGCCAATAAACCACTCAGAACAAGTGCAAAGCAGTATTTCCT